ATTATGTTCACGTTGAGATAATGACGTATAACTAATTGCCATCTAAAAGAACAAAAATGTTCTCTGTCTATCTGCTAAAGATGATATATTTCAAATAAACCAAAAAAAAAAAAACAGTCATTCACATATATGCGCACAAGAGAAAAAAGCAATAAGTACCGGAAGAAAAACAAAAAAGAAACATATATATGCTTAATAGTTCATATTATCTGCATTCTCAGCTATCAATTGCAAAAAAAAAAAAATGCACGAATAACAAAATTTTTTTGTGTTTTACAGAGGAGATTCTGGAATGAATAATATTCAGTAACTTTCTAAGATGATAATATATAAAAGTAGAAATAAACATAAAGAAAAAACAAAAATATCTGTATGTGTTATCATGTGAAGATTTCAATGCACAAAATAAGAAATAAATGACCTTTATCACAGAATGACACACACACACATGTATCTATGAAATATTTCATGAGCATTTGAATTTTGTTGTTGTTGTTATTCGTGTTATGAAAAGAACAAATAATAAAAGAAAAAAAGTATGTGACAAACAAGATGATGATGATGATAATGATGAACTATATGTTGGATCATAATAACGTGCGTATTGATCTTCTAAATTTACATGAAAAGAAAATTAAAATTTTTTTAAACAAAAAAAAACCTATTTACTTCTTATTTGATATGAACTTATTACTTCAGTTGATCCTTTTACACATGCATAATCTATTTTTTCAAGAGTTTCATTAACAATTGTATGACTAATATGAATTAAGATAAGTGATGCATTACAAGAATCAACATGAATATTCTCTCGATTTGTACGACATCCATCAGTAGTATCATCGAACATAAGAAGAATACCTGATGGTTTTACATGATCTGTTTTAACGGATAAAAAGACATTTTCAAATTTCAATGATGATAATGGTGATACTGATGTTGGTTGAGATATTTCACAACGGACTTCTATTTTTTCAGTGGCAGTACCAGCATTTGGATAGACAGATAATTGAAGAATAGGACTTTCATTTGTAGAATGATTTGATAGATCAGTTTGTGATAATACCAAATTGATGAAAGTTATTAAAAGACAGACTAAAAATAGAAAATTATTTACATTTCCTTTGAAAAAAAGAAACTCGATGAACCACGATACAATAGGTAAAAGTTGATTTAACACTTCTTTAATATTAATTCGAAAATATATGTGCTTACTCGACTGATAATATATCATTATTTAATAGATCAAAGAAATGTTCTTTTGATGTTCTATTTCTTTGTCCTCACATAAGATAATTATATATGAATAGCAGCACATTCATCTTACTGGTTCCACAAAATGAATAGATAAACGAAAAAAAAAAAAGAAATACAGATACTTCGTATGATATAACATATTTATGTCTACGTGCTTTTTTATTTATTAATATTCAGCATAGGAATTAAAAATGTTTATCGTTAGGCTTTTCTCTTGAGAATTTGATACAACAATCGAACGATTAATCTCAAGTTGAGAGATTCTTATATTAGTGTCTACAACATGTATTTAAAGAACAAAAGAAAAAGAATGTCGACTTACCATTGAATAAATGTAGTAGCAACGATGATGCCATTTCATCGACGATGGCGCTCGCCGCGTTCTATTAATCAACGATTAATCTTCTAGAGAGATAGAGAGAAAAAAATCAAAGTAGAACTTCTCCTTTTTGTCTCTGACATTTATGCAAATGACTCGTCTATATGTATAAATGTATTTGGTGTACATTCACACATATCATTAAAAAATCAGCACATGCTGACTGACTTCTCGCCACATACTATAGATATTTCCTGTATAGACACCGCCCTATTTTACTTACTATATAGATTTATACTAAGTGTGAAACCTTTGAAAAATATATATATATATATATATTTTTCTCTATTGAATAATGGTGAAGAATAATGAATGTTCAAGTTTAACCGTGCGATGGAGCAGAAGAAACGATGAGATGTGCTTTGAACAGGCGTATATGCACATTAGACAATTTGTGAAATAAGAGTGGATTACATAAGACTGTTTTTTTCTTCGGTTTTTTTTTCTGTATATGATTGTATTATGCTTCTTTCACACTTATATCCCGTCTTCAAAAATGTTAACTAATGCAATAATCAAGTGGAGGAGGGAGCTTTAGTGAAGGACAAATGTACACATCAAATTGAACGGCAAAGAAGGAAAGAACGAGAAGCAAATGAGAGAAGAGGGACAGTTGTGGTAGATTGAATGATTAAAAGAAGCAATGGCCGAATTTATGCAAAAGAGAAGTATGTTGCTTTTATATGAATTCTTGCTGTTATTTCGTTACTTTGTAAATAAGTATATAAATTGGGTGTCAAGCAACCGTTGTTGAATTATGTTCAATAAGTAAATATAACTATGGGAACAATAAGTATTTTTAAAAAAAATGTAAATAACATCAATGAACATAGAGAAGGTTAACTAATGATAACTAAACAATTGTATGTTGATAGAGCAACATGCACTACAAATGAATGATATCCGCCAGATGACGAAACATTTTCTAGATCAACTTATATATATACAATAGAAGAAAGAGAATATTAATTACTATTTACGCAAGAAAATATAAATATATATGTATTACAGGTTTACGTAATTGATAATAAAAAAACAATAACTATGTCTAATAATCGGAGTATTCAATAATTAGAAGAAACGATCGCTTCAAATAGAAACTCATTTATTTAGCTTATTTATATATTTATCTTCATATCCGCTTACGTTAGATAAAGGGCTTATATTTATCTTTCTTTTTTTTCTTTCAAAAAAAAAATGTCAATAAAACATACATTCTGACGACGTAGATAACTTTCTAACTACGATACGATTAATAAACAGTGCTTATTATCTGTTTTATACGATCGATAAAGAAGCGAAACAAAGTAGAAAAAAAAAACTAACGCCCTTGTTGACATAGATATATACAATGGAAGAAAAAAATTTGACCATTTAGTCTTTATAGGTTGGATAAAAAAAATAACCAATTAAAAAACAACTTACAACCACCACGTTGAATTATGTTCATAAAATACAGATCACATTTAAATAATAAATATTTATTCATTATAATTCATTAATTCTAAAATAGATTTAATAAAACAAAAAAAATGCAAAAAATTAATTTTAAAATTTTATCAATACATATACTATGGATTGATAGTTTAAGTTTGAATTGAATTCCAGAAAATTTCAAGTCGATTGACATTTATGAATTTTAAAAAAATCTCTTCTTCAGCTCAAGTATATATCTCCAGTTATGTATAATGTTGCACCAGGTGTATTTTGTGTAACTAATTTAATCAATATCGACGACATATCCCCATTTCATTTTAATTTTTTCTTTGATTTCTCAACTATTGGTTTTTGCAACAATTTTGCTCAAACATTCAATTTAAATAAGAATAATACAGAAGTCATAATCATCGTAAAGTATAAGCTATAATTAATTTGTTCAATATGTTATTCGATTTTTTTAAATGACTGTAGTTCGAAATGAAGGTATGGGGAAGCATAACTGTATTGCTATTAGTTTTAATATTATGTAAAAATACCTTAGGCATTATCAATGCAAATGTCCTATTGGTTGGAAACATTAACCGATTAGAATAAAAAACAAATACCGCCATTTAAGGTTTAACTTCAGAAAAAAACCTTAATCTTGGATGTAAAAAGTTCTTAAAAATAAAATGTTAGTAAAAATTTAAGCTCTTCTATAATCATTCAGTAGGCCGTAATGTTCACAGCTGATACAACGGAATGTGACTCATTCATTCACGCTGTTGTTTTTACTTTTCATTAGCATTTGCTTATCTTCTTTTTTGTTTAATGTAATGCACGGTATTAAATTTCATTTGATTCGATAGGATCTAATGAAATGAATCAAAAAAGTGTAAGCCAAAGTCCGCCATTATTGATGTAATGTGTTTAAGGTCGCGTTGATAGTGGCGGACTTTGGTACACGTGTTTTTGGTTTACTTTATAGAATGATTCAATATTCTTTGTTTTTAATGTCGATAGATAGAATATTTCTCTTGTTCACCTGTAAATTTTTTCTTAGAATTCTTTAATTTTAATTCTATAATTCGTATTTGTAGATTATTTTCTTAAAAATATTGAACTTAAATTAATATTATGAATATTAATTTAATTTGAAAATCTTTGTGAGAACAAAACATATGTCTTCCTTTGGTTAGTAAATTAACTTTTTCTTACTGAAACTAATTCTAATCTACTTAACACTACTCAACAATTATTTAATATCTATTAAACTACTTCTATTTAATTTTCACCAAGAAGAAATTAAATCGAACCTATAATTTTCCATAATAAATACTCAATAAACCTATTATTTACTTAAAAAAATTAATAAAAACAAAGACGAATATATTGATATAAAGACATCGAAGTAATTTAAAAAGTTTTCGATGCATATACAATTATGAAAAATTTCATTCGATATGATTGATCAAAAAATAAAATAAAATAAAAATAGAAAATTAAATTTACGTGATTTTAATAATGAGTATGATAAAGAAAAAACAAGTTTTTGAATAATTATAATTTGCATTTGAAATAAATCTTACTGATTTAATTTTTAAGATTATTTTTGAAATATTTTTCTCATCTCTTCATTGAGATGGATTTTGATATTGATGCTGTTCTTGATCAATTAGAAAAGACGCGTAAGTTTTATTTTAGTTTTATTTTTTATTAAATCTTTTTTTTGTTTTTTTATTACAGTCAATCAATCAAATCAGGAAGAAAAGGAATCAAATCATGAAGAGAAAGAATCAAATCAAGTTATTCAAGCATCTTCATCACCTTCAACTTCTAAGAAATCAGTTGATGATTTACTTTTACTCGAACTTGATCCTCTTGGAAATCCAAATAAACACAATAATAATGATAATAATCAAGAAAACGAAAATAAACTTGAACGTCTTAAACAAGATCTTCAAGAATTATATGCATCATCAGTTGTGATCGAAACACCATCAATATCTATACCTACTTTACCTGATGTTATTGTTCAACAAGAAGAAACTTCATCAACATCATTACCATTAGCTGTTGAACAACTTGAATTTGAAGTACGACAAGAAATTTTACAACATACTCTTGAACAACCATCATCACCAGATTTAACAACTCCTACAAATAGTCATCATGATGATAAAAAAGAAACGACTTTATTTTCAACATCATCAACTTCAACTAAAGAAGAGAAGGAAGAAGAAGAAGAAGAAGAAGAAGAAGAAGAGGAAGAAGAAGAAAAAGAAGAAAAACAAAATTCATCACCTTTACCAGTAATTGAAGCAACACAAATATCAAATAATTTAACATATCAAAATGAACCTGATCTTATTCAACATGAAACACCTCCAATGAGAACCCAAATAATCTTACATAGTGTTGATAGTATTGTCAATGCACCCATGGGAACTAATCTTGATGTAGGAATCTTTTTTCTTTTGTTTTAATCTGAATTATCGTAATCAATATTTTTCTCATTAGGATTTTATCACTTCTAGTCTACCAATGAATGAGACGTCACTACTTCAATCATCTTCTGAAATTTTCTTCACTGCATGTAATGATAGTGATAAATCTATTCAATCCTCATCTGATGAACCTATAGTTGATACTGAAGAATCTTCATTACCATCTTCTCTTACAACTAAACAAACATCTACTGTACCTACACAAGATTTTGATCTTGTTAAAAATATTCTATCAGAAATTTTTGATAAAAATGATGAAGAAATACTTGATGAAAATCCAATTGAAGAAAAAGAATCTAGATTGGTTAATGTTGAACAACAAGAAATATCTCCACCACCAGCATCATTAACTACAAGTAATGATGAAGATTTTCGTTTTCTTGATGAAATGCTTGCAAGTATTGATGGACCAGAGATTGATATTCATCAATTAACTCCAGCTGATATTGATCGAGTTGATAATATACTCAAAGAAATCGTTAATGCACATCAAACAGAAACAATGCCATCATCATCATCAATAATTAATGATATTGAACCTTGTCCACCTCCATCTCCTCCTCCTTCTTCTCCTCCTCCTTCTCCTCCTCCTCTTCCTCCTTCAGAACCACCACCATCACCACCAACTGAATCTTCTTTTTCATATGCACCACAACCAGTAGGAGATGCAGCTGCAGCTGCAGCTTCAATAGTACCTGCCGATGAAGAACTGATACGTGTTGAACAAGAATGGGCTAAATTAACTGAAGAAGAGAAAACACTCGGTTCAGTTGCACCCGAATGGGTTAGTGATGATCAAGCACCTATATGTATGAAATGTTCAGCTAAATTTTCAATAACACGTCGTCGTCATCATTGTCGTGCATGTGGAAAAGTTTTTTGTTCAACATGTTGTTGGCAAAAAGTTAAATTAGTTCATGATGATAGTAAAGAAGATCGAGCATGTAATGATTGTGTTAAAACGATTATTAAAGGTAAATTTCTTTGTCTTTTCTATGATTTATTATTATTTGTTTATTTTTTTCATTTAATATTATAGTTGAATATTTATGGAATTATATGCGTAATAATCAAAAACCTCGTTCATCTGTACTACGCAAAAAATCAGGTAAGAGTTTAAAATAATCGTTATTATTAATGTACATTTGATGTTGATGATGGAATATTTTGTAAGAGTGTTGTTGGATCAGTTTTGTATGGAACTGTGTAATACCTTTAAGAAATCAATGTTTCAATTATTATACAATCATGTCCCAAAAGTTCATCAGAAAAGCTAATGTATAGATCTCTTATACAGTTCAAGGGACTTAATTGACTTGTTTATAATATGTTATTATGTTCTTTAAATTTTTATCCTGTATAAATTTCTATTCCTATCAACATTAGAATAAAAATAGTTTTATTAATGGTTAAAACAAGTAACCCTTATACTCCTTCCAATCTACTAATGTTTTTTTGTTACTGTGAGTGTCCTGAGGATATGAGTTCACTACAACAAAACTTGGACATTATTAGTCATAGCAAAAAACAAAATGAATAATTTAAGGAGAGAATCACTTTCAACGAATATTGACCCTTCTATTGTATTATGAAGTACTTAATTACACAGTGTTAGTTTTTAGTGCAGCAGAAAGATTATTTGTCTTATAATTTCACAATGATTCACTATTAAAAAGTGTAGATTTTATCATCAGTGTAGTTTCATACAGTCTATCAAAATAATTAAAAAAAATGATGATACTGTTAACTATGATCTGAATTTCTGAAGAGAGAACATCTATATGACATTTAAGAATTCACTAAACATGATTAAAGAAAATTGTATTATTTTATTATTTTTTGTATTGCGACTGATGTTATGATATCAAAACGTCTGACTCAAACTTTGAACTTTCCAGTGTTAGTAAAAAAAAAATGATTGCTTTTAGAACAGGAGTACTCCCACGTAAATTGATTTTCATTAGAAAAAAAGCATGATTTTCGAAATCATCATGCAAAAATACATCGACAACTCGACATTTCATCGTAAAACATTTCTGGTTAAAATTTTTGCACTATTCCTCCTTACCTTTCTATTCGTAAAATTTTAGGCTGTGCCCTCGTACTGATAAAAATTGATTGAAAGTCTTTTTCAATGAAAGATAGAGTTTCCAGTGTCTTTTTGCATGCCGATTTCGAAAATCATGCTTATTTTCAATAAAAACCAATTTTTGGTAATCAAAATCTAGAAATACTAACTGTTTTTCTTTCGAGTATTTTAGGTGGAAGTGACCTTGTTGTAAAAATAATGATTTATTTTTTACTAACACTGAAAAATGTCCAATATCTATCTATATTTTCTCTTATCGTCACAACCAAAAAATAGTTAAACAAAAGGAAAACTAGCGAGGTATTATAATCCATAAAAAAAGCGCGGTGCAACGGAAGATCAAGAACATTCTAGCAGATCAACAAAAACTACAGAAGAAAACCTCGACGAAGTGCATCATGTTTGTAAGAATGAATCACAATCAAGTGTTCGAGGTGTTGCATTGACTTACTCTACATCACGAACAACAGTATACTTCATAGTGACTGAATACCTTTCATTGCAACCGTACAAGATGAAATTTGTTTGTCGCATGAAGCAAGCTGCTGCGACAACTCGAACATTTGATTGTAGTTCATTCTTACAAACGTTATAAACTTCGTTGACTTTGTCTTCTAAAATTTTTGATGATCTCCCAGAACATTCTCGATCTTCAACTGTACCAGTTTTACAGAAGTGTTGAAATATAACTGCAATGCAATCTTCACTTAGTATGTTTCTGCTAAACTTGACTTACAGTTATCGTTTCATAACTACCGATGACTGAAATTTGCTCATTAATAAAACTAAGTCATTTGATTTGCATATGAGATATTTACGTTAATTTTTCGGAGAGAGTTTTGGGATACTCGATAGTATTTTATTTGTTTGAAATCTCTTACTCATAACTCTTATTTGCTTCGGGCACAAAACCAGTTAGATTTGAATTTATTTCTTGTTGTTTTTGAAATACCAATGGTGTTTGTGTCTTAGTCATTGAGTTATCATCTATATCTTTGTTTGATTTTATCGTTATATTTGATTTTTCTTCTTTTATATTAGTAGTTGTATTATTTTGTTTTTGTGATGAAATAAGTTTTGATACTGAAGTGTTGATCATATTATGATCATGATTAGGACAACAATATTTATCATGAAATTGTTTTTGTGTTCCGCTTAAGATCAATTTACTATTATTAAATATGTAAAGATCATCAAGATTTGCTTGTGGTTTATGATCTAAACGTTGACCTTTATACATAATAGTTTGATGACATTTTGGTACTTTAGTAAGTTTTTCAATTTCATCTAATAGATTTTCAACTCGAATTTTATTGTCTTTACTCGATAATAACATTTCATAAAGATCAGAACCATATTGAATTTGTAATTTAATATAATGAGACAATGTCGTATCAACAATAGAATTATTGTTATTGAATGAAGTCATGTTTTTTTATATAATGAAAATAATAGAAATCACGTTAGATAATGAGTTATTTAAAAATGATGGCGCTAGATTAAATTTATTCTAATGATTTTGTTTCAAAAGTAAAATACCTGTAAATAAAAATAAAATTTCTTTTTTTTTTCTTTTATTCTTATATTTTTTTTCTGCACATTGTTATTTACAAAGCTTATTTTATTCGGGTATAAAAATGGACGGATAACAAGAGCAAGAGCAAATAGGTTGATATAGAAATAGAGAAAATATGATCTGTTCAGTTAGAATTGTTCATATGTCATATGATTGGATTTAATTTGTTCGATTTGCTGTAATCATTGGTTCATATCGTGTTTTAGTTGGATCACCAATTAATCTAACTTGAGCATTATTATCAATGCCAGCATCACGTAATGTACGATCTTTCATTTGTTGTAATTCTCGTCCACGAAAAAAGAGTTTTTGACGTTGAACAGGAACAGTTGTTATACGTTCTAATTCTTCCATTAGATCCGTTATACGTAGATTATTTGCACTACGTAAAATAAGCACATGTCGATCGGAGCCTTCAACAAAAAAAAAAGACATATATATTTGATAAAAATCTATGTTTTTTTTTAATTAGAGAATAAAAATTTATACCATGAAATACTTCAATTTTAAGCACTTCTTGATTAGCACCGTTCTGTGTCGGATCATTGGTGTTGATAGTATTATCCATACGTCTTTTAAATTAAAAAAGATAATAGATAACATTTTCGACTAATCTTTAACGTTCATTCACTCATACTCTGCCTATTACAGTATTTTTCTACTTACCTCGGTGATGTATCATTTTGATTTCCACCACCACCACCACCACCACCTGTTGACTGCGATCCATCACCATAAAATGATGGTGGTGCTTGTTGTCTTGCTGAATAATACTCATTTGGTGGTGGTGGTTGCTGCTGTTGTTGTTGTTGTTGATTATTAGATCCTGAACCTTTATACCAAAGTGAAATAAATGAATTATTAACAACTCCAAGTGAATCAAGTGGAGCATCAGGTGGATATTGTGTTAAAGGCATTCCATTATATGCAACATTTTGATCAAGAATTGGTATATTAAAACGTTGTTGTAATTCAACTTGTAAATCATAAAGTGTTATTGGATGTGGTCGACCAATAGCAAGACCTTCAATTCGATCACCGATACCAATTTGTAAATTAAGAACAAATGAAGGAGCAACAGGAGGTGCTGCATTTGGATTTGTCAATTGTTGATAGTAGTTAGCACTAAATAAAGGCTGGTTAGTAGAAAGCAAATAGCAGGTCAATTCAGGGTTAAGATTGATTTATTTTTTGAAAGAAAAAAAAAAACATAATAATAATAACGAAAATAAGAGAAATATGTCTTATTCTGAACGATAATAAAAATGTCTAAAGAAAAAGGATGTAAAGGAAGGAAAAAAATCCATCAGTATAATTTATTTGATAGAAAAAAAAATGACTGAACACTTACGATCCATGATGACAACGACAATTACAATTGGTATAATGTTCATGAGCGCATCTACTTTGACAATAGAAACTGAACTTAGTAAAAGGAAATATGTTGTTGTCATTTTCTTTTTCTTTTTTAAATGTATATTACTTTAAAGTATCTTTTCTATTCGAGTTTTTTATTAGACAAGAAAAATTATACTTCGCATACACTTTTTCCAATGGAATAAAAAGAAAACCTTGAAGTTTAATATCTTACCGTGGACTACCGCCAAACTGTTGTTGTTGTTGATCATACATTGTTGGATAATTCGAATTGGGTTGTTGCTGTTGTTGAGGATAAAATTGTTGTTGCTGTTGTTGAGGATAAAATTGTTGTTGCAATTGTTGTTGTTGATAAATATCATTTGATGATGAATATTGCTGATCAGATGTTGCAAAAGAACGTAGTTCTCGTCGTCTATTTTGTTGTGCTTGATCATCTTCTCGACAGACACGCATTTGATGATTATTTTCAATTCCTAATGTTTCTAAAAGTTCATTTGGTGTATCACAAATATTTCGTCCCTAAAATAAAGTTAATACAATAAAAAAGAAAATATTATTAAATTATTTATAAAATAATAAAGATTTGATTTACCTTCCAGTAAAGAATTATTTGATCAAGAGGCATTTTAAATACTTTAGATGCATCTTCTTGAACATCACGTACACGTAAATCATAATTACGTTTAACAACAAATGTTTGTCGATCGGAACCATAAGCTGCTTCTATTTTAATTACTTTACGATCTTGACGGCGAGCCATTTTCTTTAAAAATTTAAATTAAAAATTAATATAATGAAACAAAAAAAGAATTTTAATAGGATATCCTACGTGATCAGAGAAACTTCGTCTATCTTCACTGAAAAGCATGGTGCGGCCTTAGTGAGTGTTTTATGTGTATATGAATATTTGATAAGTGATATCACTACTAAAAGTTTGACTTTCATTTTCCTTTGTTTCAACATACCTACAAGTATTCGATTTCTTTGCGCTCTTTTTTTCAAACACGTCTGAGACTAGTGTGAAAAAGCAGAAAAGAAGAAAAAAAAAGGTTCTTTCGTTTACATAATTTGTCGCTTTTC